ATCTAAAATAAAGCAAGAAAAGAGGGAGTTCTTAAATATTTGAAAATTTTAATCAATCGACCACTTCATTATATTAGAATGAGAACCAAACATTTTACTGTTTGGTGCAAATATTATATATATATATATATATCTCGACAATTACGACTAATTTGTTCACATATTTTACTTTTAAAAAAAAAGTTATTAAAATTATATTCTTCTAAAATTATTTGTCAAAATAATATGTATTTTACAAAGGCGAGTGTTGTCACTGTCGGTAAATGTTAAAATGTTTCATGATTTACATTTAAGGCACGATTGATTAACTTTACATTTAAAATTTAATTTTGGGAAGGTTTAGGTGGTCAAATGCGCCTTCCCACTGACATTCCAGCCCTTCATCTTCTATAAATCCCCTTCCGCCATGACAAAAAGCACAAATTTTAAATCAATTACATTGAATCGTTCGAATTTAATACAGATGGTAGTTTACATCTATTAGGATGAGAGCCTCTACCTTCTGGGTGGTGCAAACTTAATACAGATGGAGCCCAGAAGCTGGATGCGAAGTTGTGGGGATTTATGAAGGTTTGTTTGCGGCATGGGAGATGAGCAACAAGTCGATCATCATTGAAACGGATAGACAAGAAGTTTAGTCGTGGCTTGAGCAAAAGAAAAGATTATGGAAATGGTTTTATTAATAATTCTAGTGTGTATAATATGAGAAGGTAGGCTATCAATTTATATGAGTAATGAATGAGTAAAATTGCCTGATAACAGTTACCTACCTTAACTATTCTCACGGACCCCAAAAAAAGAAAATATCTCAAATTTATTTGCATAAATTACATACTTGAGTATGGATGACCATACTGAGGAACCAAAATGGCCTCCATTACCAATTTTCCAGGTAATATCTTGATTCCCTTAGTCCTGAAATAAGCATGCAACCTGGAAAGATAAGATATGTCATCTTGTGAATTCGAGCTCGATGAATGGAATTCGAACAGTGACGTGCGCGAACATCATCGTCGTGTTCATAACTTTTCTCCTCTATAATTTTATCTTGTTTTAGGAACTTTTTGAGAAATGGCAGCCGATATGTTTGTGGGAAGGGAAAGGTTTGCTACACTTCTATTAATGAGACAAACCGAGACTGTGATCCTTTGGCTTTCCGATGATCAGAACTTTTGGGAATAGATCGAGCAGGGGCCGACGCCTTTGGGCCCACACGGTCTTCAACAGGTATACTTATTATCACATACAACAGGGATAAAACAAATTCATTTACAATGCATTGCGTTAGATGATTGAACATCATATACCTTTCGTTCTTGTTTTGATGCAGCTTTATCTGGATATGGAGTTTGTAGTGATTTTCGGTAACCTGCAACAAGTTATCAAAATCATTATCGAGTGAGCTATTGACGCAGTGGCCGGGATGCCGCACTAAATTCATTGGCCTGCACTTCACGCAAAATTCACAAAGATTATATTTTTGAACAATTTTTACGAGGAGGAATGAAAGTTTTTTCTTTTAATGGGTATTGAACCACAACATTCGAGAGAAAAAAAGTGTATCAGCTGAAAAATTTTAACCACATACTCTAGGTATTGTTGACCTAAGACTATATTAAAGAAAGTCTAAGATAAATTCACTAAAAGGCTAAGACTAAAAGTTTATATAAATTAAATTATTATCATCATACTATAAAAGTATTATGATATAGATTTACATATCTGTCATTTTTATTTTTAGAAGAATATAATGATAAATCTATTATTATAGTTTTTTTTAAAGAAATTTGAAGGGTTCTAGACTAGGCCTGTGGAGTTTGTGGTATTTTGTGTGAAACAGATATCATATTCACGTTTAAGAGGTAAAAAATGAGTGAATTGAAAGTTTTGTGGTCTAGCGATCGTCGGTGGTGACCGGATGACAATAAATGGTGAGTGGCAATCGGTGACGGGAGACTTCGATCGAATTTATGAGTTAAATTGATATTTTATCTAAAGTTCAAATTTTAACCACATACTCTAGGTATTGTTGACCTAAGACTATATTAAAGAAAGTCTAAGATTAATAAAAACAAAAAAGTCTAAGATAAATTCACTAAAAGGCTAAGACTAAAAGTTTATATAAATTAAATTATTATCATCATACTATAAATGTATTATGATATAAATTTAAATTATGATATAAATTTAGATTTTTGTTATCTTTATTTTTAGAAGAATATAATGATAAATCTATTATTATAGTTTATTTTTAAAGAAATCTGAAGGGTTCTAGACATGCTTGTAGAGTTTGTAGTATTTTGTGTGTAAAACATATAGCATATTCACGTTTAAGAGGTAAAAAATGAGTGAATTGAAAGTTTTGTGGTCTAGCGATCGTCGTTGGTGACCAGACAATAATCAATGGTGAGTGACAATTGGTGACGGAAGACTTCGATCGAATTTATGAGTCAAATTGATATTTTATATAAAGTTTAAGGATCTAATTGATATTTTATCTAAATTTCAAGGGTCAAATTAGTATTTTATCTAAAATTTAAGGTCAAATTAGTATTTTATCTAACGTTTAGGGTTAAATTAATATAATGTCTAAAAATTAGGGGTCAAGCTAAAATTTTAACATTTTTATTAATGTGTCATGTCATCTAGGAGTGTTCAAAAAATCTGATCCGATCCATTAATTTATTTGAAGATTCGCATATCCGGTCCGATTTTAATTTTCGGATATTCCGGATTGGATATCCGAGACAAAAATCAGATAATCATATTAAATACGAGTCGGTTAAAAATTAATCTCGGAGTGTCTGAAAATCCGATAAGAATGGGCTTTTAGAATATTTTACTTGGGCCCAACTATCCCAACCAGCCATCCCACCCCTAACTTGAAATACACAGCCTTGGGGATTGCCTTACAGACTGTATAATTGAATTCCCAATGTTTAACGAGTCCAGAGTCCAGAGTCCACCCCGCACACTATTCTTTGCCTTCCCTTGCCTTGAGCCAGCCAATCCGATTTATATTTGAGAACACTGAACTGCTAGTGCTCAATACTCAAACCCCATGCATCAATGAAAATACTTTGTTAATAACATAAAATCGATGATGGTAATTAATAAAGAGGAAAAATGTATGATGGAGAGAGGTTAACAAGCGTCACTTCATAACGCGGCTTGCTCAAGGATTCTTACTTCTGTATGTTATTTATAGGAGACGGCTAAGGTTTTAGTTTATTCAACTTTTATTTTTAATACACATATACGCAGGGGTTATGGGAATTGGGAACCTAGGTTAGTAGCTATTTGTGTATAAATTACAGGCGAAAGGTCGCCCCCCACACCCCTCTTTGTTGTCAATTGATCTGCTGCTTACTAGTGGATTTTTGTTTGAAGGACAAGACCGTTCTGTTAGGTTAGCTAGGTTGACAAAAGAAGAGTACATTTACTAATTAGTACAGTCCGTTGTTGCAATGAATAATAGTAAAACATCAAAGGATATTCAATTTTGTAACTTGTTATGTTTTAACATATAATAGAGATACAGAATAATATGTTATATGAAATCATAAAATATTAGATTTAAATCTAATATTTTTGGCAAACTAAAATTTATATTCTGACTCAGATATCTAAATATCCGATACGAAAATTCAGATATCGGGATTTTTTAGATCGCATACGGATCGTAATTTTAATGATCAGAATTTTCAGATATCCAAAATTTCGGATCGGATAATATCCGGTGTTCGAAAATGCACACCCCTAAATTGTCATCAAACTAACATGAGTTAAAGTTTAGTGATCAAACTAAAACATATCAAAAATAAAAATGATCAAAACGTAACTTTTTTAAAACCAATAACTAAAATAAGACAAAGCAAAACAAGGTAAACCACCAGTGTAGTTTACTCTTTTCTTAACCATTTACATTTTGGTTTGAATAGAATGTATATGACGGTATTCTTATTATTTATTTATTTATCATAAGAAAAAAGAGAGTGGTTTGTGTAGAGATCAAATATTAAATTAAAAATAACCAAAATTTTATTTTTTTTATATATATATAAAAAATATGTTTATTATTATATGGTCTTAATTATAGCACAAGCTTCACAAACTCCAGGTTTGAGTGTGGATTACATTGTCCTTTCCGTCGTCCCAGTCTGTGCATTCTTCTCGCTGTTGTGATCTGTAACATTGTTGGCTTTGAAAACATGGACCAATGGAGCAAGAGCAAAAATATCTTTGAGGAATTGCACTTTGTTTCTTTCCTTGCCATATATTCTTTTTTAACAAAATAGAAAACCAGCTTGTCTCTTTACCTAAATCTCGCAAGCAGCCATACCCAATGGGTGATAGCTATGAATTCCCCAATTTTCGTCTGTATTTGTTTAAATTATTTAAATCATATAAGAATTTGAAATTTTATAAATTATTTAAATTATATAAGAATTTGAAATTTTAAAAAATTACAATGATTCCCAATATACATCAGTTTTATAAGTTCAAAGACCTTGAATATTTAAATCTTATTTGGACTGCTTAATTGCTTTAGAAAAAGCTTCTAAAGTGTAAGATCCTTCTTGTAATCTCCAAAGAAAGAATCATTTAAGCAGGTGATGAGCTTTGCATCATGTAGTTTGGTGAACTGGATTGGTCAGTAGTTTGCAACGACAGTTCACATTTCGGACTTCCAGATTCTTAAGCAGACAAAATTACTAAAAAGGAACAGGAAGGGTGGTTTACTAATTTTTTAATCATTTGAAAATTAAATGAGAATGTTAGTTTATTAGAATAATTTATTTAGCAAATCTGTCAGCTAGATTACCTCACTTTAACTTCAATCAAAGGACATCATGATCTAAACACATGCTTTTTTTTAGCATAAAGTAATGACAAAAGATATGGCAAAATCAATGTCCTGGACCAACTCTTGTTTCTTAATTTCAAGCTCACTTTCTTCTTTCGCTTGCACTGATCACAGTGAGAAAGGCAGGATGGGCTGCCAAATGTTATGGCTGCATCTAGCATTGACTATGATGGCAGCAGCTACAAGCATTGTCCAAGGGTGCGACCCTGGTGACCTTAAAGGACTCGCCAGTTTCAGGGGCGGAATCCATATGGACACTTCGGGTAGGCTAGCGAAATGGGCCGGTCATAGTTGTTGCAGGTGGCAGGGTGTTGCCTGCAACAATCGAACCGGTCGAGTCACTGAAGTTCATCTCCCGGGGTTCATTTCGACTACCGATTTCGTGTTTCAATCTCAGATGGAAGGTTGGTTGTCCCCATCGATCACACTCCTCGCATCTCTTGAAGTTCTCGATCTCGGAGGACTCGTAGGCCTTTCAGGAAGAATTCCCACATCGATCGGTCGTCTCAAGAACCTCAAAAAGCTCTATCTTTATGGGAACAAGCTGAGGGGACCGGTGCCAGACAGCATTGGTAAGCTTTTGAAACTCGAAGAACTTCACCTGCATGAGAATAGATTATCTGGATATCTTCCTCCTGGCATTGGTTTTCTTAAAAATCTTCATGCTTTGCTTCTTCATTCAAATAGATTCACTGGTAGTATCCCTGCTTCATTCTCCAACTTGACAAATCTCATGCATTTGGACAAATTATGGCCAAATGCCAATGCTTGGGTTTTTAAGGCTACAAAACAATCAAATAAGTGGGAAAATACCGCCCAACTTCGGATATCTGGTTTCCCTCCAAAGGGTTTCTCTTGAAAACAACAAGCTCCAAGGAGCAATTCCTTCTAGTTTGGGTGATCTACAAGGTTTGACAGAGTTGTATCTCGGCGGCAACGAGTTGTCCGGTGTTGTACCAAAGTCGATCGGCCGACTTTCCCGTCTCATACTGTTGAGCCTTTCTTGTAACTCGATTCAAGGACCATTGCCTGATGAAATGTCTGCTCTCCAGAATCTGCAGACACTGGACCTTTCTTTCAACAGCTTGAATCTAAGCTCCATTCCAAGGTGGGTAGTCTCTTTCGAGAATCTTCTTAGCAGGAAGCGGAATCAAAGGCCAAATACCGGACTCGTTGAGATCCACACCAAGTCCGATACAGGAACTGGACTTATCGTCTAATTATCTCACCGATGGGATACCAGCATGGATGGGAAGCCTCACTCAACTCTATTCATTGAATCTTTCAAGGAACCATCTCAGTTCAAGTTTTCCGGCTTCGGTTGCCGACCTCGAGGTGTTAGAGGTTTTAGACCTTCACTCGAACAATCTAACAGGATCATTGGAACATGTTTTCAAGATAGAAACCAGTTTTCCTGGTGGTTCACTGACCTATATTGACCAATCCGATAATAGCTTCACAAGTACAATCGAGCAAATTGGCGTAGGAACATTGGAAAGACTTGAATATCTTAATCTATCACATAATTTACAAGAGGGTCGATTGCCAACTTCAGTGGAGAAATTGAAGGCATTGAAATGCTTGGATTTGAGCTTCAACAAGTTGGGTTTCGGCTTGGTGGAGGCCTTGGCAAATCTAAGCCATTTGAAGACGTTGAAGCTACAGAGAAACCGTTTTACTGGTAAAATACCAGTCGAGTTTTTGAACCTCAAAAACCTCAAGGATTTGGACTTATCGGACAATCTTTTGGTAGGGGAAATCCCTTCCGGAAAACCACTTAGTGACTTTCCTCAGAGTTGTTTCACCGGAAACAGAGGTTTATGTGGGAAGCCGCTTTCTCCCTGCAAATCCTGAAGTAGGTTTTTCCCCACAATTTGTTGTATTGTTTGAGAACATTTATGTATTGGCATGCTTCTCAGCTGTAAATGGATTTCACATTTTGTTTTCGGTATGAAGCTAAAAAAGCAAAGCATGAACATCATAACATGACAATAGAACCAAAAATTATTACAAAATCTAATATATTGGATTTCGATATCTTCCGGACAGTTACAATCCCTTGACATGATTATTGACTAATCCACATGAACTGTTAGAGTTAAAATCTATCATTTGACAATCATATCCATTTAATTTGTCAACTTACAAATAATCATCATCACTCTAAGCTTAACATCAGCACTGAAGTCATGTTCATCTATTTCCTTCACAAAATTGTTGTCTGCAATTTTCCGCCCAAACCAAAACACCACCATGATCTCATTCTCATCAACAATTATTTTATAATTCATGTAATAATTTTTTTCTTATATTATTATTTATGTACCAAACATGGCACAAGATCTTTAAAATTACCATAAACAGACGTTCTATGATAAAATCACTACCTAAGCTAAATTATGCCTGCAATTTCCTCCTTCAGCCAATAAAGAAAGCAAAAGGTAAAAAGTTGGTGAAAGGGACCTCTACATCCAAGCTGGGTTCTTCAATTTAGTCACAACTGCCTTCACTTGCAAGTAATTGCTCAGACAGTGAACACCCTTTTCTCTCCCTTGTCCACTCATCTTGTACCCACCAAATGGAATGCTTGCATCGAACACATCATAGCAGTTTATCCAAACAGTTCCGACTCTCAACGCCCGAGTCAAGGTGTTTGCTGTTTCTAAGTCGTTTGTAAAGACACCGGCAGCCAGCCCGTATCTCGTCTGATTTGCCCTCCGAACAAGCTCATCCAAGTCCCTGTGATTAAGGGAGCATTATTAGATAACTATACCCTAAAATTCGAGCCGAAGGCAAGGTTGATTGCTTACTTGAATTTCAGGATTGATTGAACTGGACCAAATATCTCATCCTGTGCAATCAACATATCTTCCTGATAAAATGTGGAAGTTTTTAACAGTTACCTATAGTATCCAATAGCATTCGTGGTAACCTGGTTACAAGTTGATGTTGTAAATGTCATACCTTTACGTTGGCGAAAACAGTGGGCCGAATATAGTAGCCTTTATTCCCTAACCTCTCTCCTCCGGCTACGAGCGTTGCTCCACTTTCGACACCAGATCTTATGTACCTCAGGATCTTTTTGAATTGTGTCGAATCAATCTGATTTAAGTATGTATCAGTATCAATATGACAACGTTGCATTTTAATTGGAATCAGTATGACATGAGATCTACTACATTGAAGAAATGGTTGTCTGTTTACCTGGGGACCTTGTTCGGTTCCCGCCTTGAATGGATCACCAACTCTACGTTTCAACGCACGTGCCTTTGCCTTCTCTATAAACTCATCGTACACACTCTCGTGTACATAAGTCCGAGAGCCGGCACAGCAACATTGTCCCTGCAGATGGTTTATAACTACAATCCATAAATAGAATCCCAATATAGAAACTGAATTTGGTGTTAGAAAAGCATTTTTCTTAGACATACCTGATTAAAGAACAAAGCAAAATGAGCCAACTCAACAGCCTTGTCCACATCAGCATCCTTGCATACAATGAAAGGCGACTTTCCTCCAAGCTCCAATGTTACAGGCTTAAGATTGCTTTTTGCAGCAGCTGCGAGGACAATTTTTCCAGTATCACTTGATCCAGTGAAAGCAAGCTGTAAAAATGTTTAGGTTACAAATGAATTAAAGTTGAATTGAAGTGACTGGTTCTTTTAAGAATGTGAAGTACCTTATCCACTTCCATGTGACTGGAAAGAGCTGCACCAGCAGTTGAACCGAAACCCGAAATCACGTTTAGAACACCTGGAGGAAGTCCAGCCTGTGGAAACGATTCCCACATAGAATGACTAAAAGAAGTTCAAATATATATATAAAAAATCAAACAAGAACAGCTAAAGGATTTCAACGATTAAGTTACAAAACCATACATACAGGGAAAAACAACTGTGTTTCACATTCTTATAAACTACCTCATGAAGTAGCTTGGCTGCAAAAAGAGCAGACAAAGGTGTCTGCTCAGCGGACTTGAGAACGATGGTGCAGCCACATGCTAGGGCAGGCCCAACTTTCCAAGCAAACATAAGAAGAGGAAAATTCCATGGAATAATTTGACCAGCAACACCAATTGGTTCATTTATGGTTTGAACATGGTGTGGACCATCAGCCGGAACAGTGAGACCATGAACCTTGTCTGCCCAACCTGAACAAGCCAAAGAACACTGTGTGTCAAATATCAAACAAAATACTAGCAAATGATACATGGGATAGCAAAAACGTTGAGTATGGTTTTCAGTGACTTGACTGACCAGCATAGTACCGGATTACTCGTGAGATCATGGGTAGTTCAATCTTAGCAGACTGTTCATACGGTTTTCCATTATCCCAAGTCTCGAGTGTCGAAAGCTCCTCGGTATGCTTGTCAAGGAGATCAGCAAATCGAAACAACACCTTTGCTCTTTCCTGGAATACAGTAGACAAAGTTTTAACAGGTTGAAGATGATTTAACATGATAAAAGAAATAAAAATAGAAAAAACTAGGAAGTTACATAAGCAGTCATCCTTGGCCAAGGTCCTTCATCAAATGCCTTGCGAGCAGCGGAAACTGCTCGATCGATATCTTCAGCATCACCTTCAGAAACATGAGCAATCACATCTCCTGTTCTGGGATCATATGTTGGAAACGTTTTACCTATTGGATTAGGACTTATGTAAGTAGCTGAAGAATAGTTACCATAACATGCCTAGTGACACATTTACAGGTACATCAGTTACAATGTAATGGGTACATGAATATAAGAAACAAAAAAGCCCACCTGATGCTGAATCAACAAACTTCCCATTAATTAAAAGCTGAGTGCAGTTCACTTTGACGGAAGGAGTGATCGGGTTGTTAACAGAAGAGGAGGTGCTGTAACTAGGAACTACTCTGCCTACTCCAGAAATCCTCCCTGTAAGGAAAAGTTAAGTTCAACAAATAAGTGAATTACTGCTCTGGAAAAAAAAAAAGAAAAAAAAGGGAAATGGGGATAGTATGTTATTAATTAGTGAATTGGAGTGCTTTTTTTACGGTGAATTTGAAACCGTCATTTAAAGTTTGTGACTTTGTAGAAGTCACAAAAAGAATTATTTTAAACTTTAATTGTGAATTTTTTAATTTCTTATTAATAATTTTAAATGTTTTATTTCAATTTTTTTTAATCTAGTGGACTCAATTTTCATTTTAAATCATGTATTTCCTTTCAATTTGGTCTTGTAATGCAAATAACAATGATAATCAGTGGCGACTATCACACGCTCTAATAATGCCGAAGCTAAAAAACGAAATCCTTTAAACTCGCATTTTCATCTTAAAAGAATAATTTTAAAAATATCTTATTTTAATCGTTTTACTTTCATTTTCTTAATTTTACCATAATTCCAACAACAAAAAGAATTGGGAGCGACGTTTCCTACATTTAGACGGTGAATTCCTTTTTTTGAAAGGTCAGACGGTGACTTCCGAATGTCCCATTTAAACAAAAGTTAGTTTAATTTAGATTTTTTTGGCAAAAAGTTCAAACTATTTCATTGTAATAGTACTTTTATTTTAATAGTTTTAAAATATATATAAAAAAATTTTAACATGTGATTTTACACCTACTAAATTTTAAATTTATTTTTTAAAATATTTTTTCTCGTTAATTTTTTTATCAGTGGAACAAAAACACGTTGCGGAAAGTTTTTTTATGGGATCCCAGAAGTAATAGAAGAACGATCACTGATCAGATCAACATTGCTAACAGTCATATTACATTAAGATCAGAGTTCAGTTTCCAATTGTTTTTAGAGCAAAACGTCGATGAAAAAGAAAAGATAGAAAGATGAAGTGATCAATTGAAATGCAAATATACCTTTAGTAAGCAGAGAAGAGGAGGAAGCCAGTGAGCGAGAAAGCAATGAAGAAATCCTCCGAGCCGCCATTCTCGATTTATCTAACATTCAAATACGATTTTGAAAGCCAAAATCAAGCGCGGTTTTCAGTTTGGTTTTTTCCCAGGGAAAGGAGATGGCGAATCGTATGAGCAACCAGCCACGGAATTTATATAAGTAGGCGGGAGGTGTGGAAGATCAAGGCAGTGGGGTACTGTAACATGAATCGGTGCATGTGGAGGGAAAGAAAATGTGAGTTTGGTTTGCTTTAATTGAATCCAAAATATGGGGACAACGAATCTCCACAAAAGTGGCGCCGTTTCTCCTCCAAGGAAAATGAGAGTTGCGTTTACTGCGCGCGCGTCGACTCTGCTTTTAATGGATAAGTTCGTACAACTTAGACGTTTGGCAATATTTGCGTTTAAATAGAAAAGTCAAATGTATTTAATTAATTGCTGTTGAAATAAATTTTGGTTATTGCTTATTTTCATAATTATTTATGATGATTTTAATGTATTTAATATTTAAAATAAATAAATATAAAGATGATTATTCCCTGTAAAATATATGAGATTTTCATATCTAAAATTGGCTTTGAATATTGTACTTATATATGTCGTATCAAATTTAAAAATTATCTCTAATAGCTCAAAATTATAAAATATGTTCATGAGATTATCAAATCTCACATTATTTATATTAGTTTTTTCGAGTGTTTAAATATAACATTTTAAATTTACACTTATTAAATGATGGAAGATGATATTTGTACACATATATCTCTGTCATGTATAGCTTTAACTACTTGTTCTCTTTTTTTTCTTATTTTATCATGGCATGTACAAACATCCAAATTTCTTACCATATAAGTAAAGACGTACTCATAAAATATTAAATTTAATTTAAAAATATAAAAATTTTAAACTTATTTTTACTTGAAATCTTACATTAACTACGATTTAAAATGTATACGAAAAATATTCAATTATAAACCAATTATTAGACTTACTTTAGTGGTTCATATACTCTCATGTACCTCAATTGGCACAAATCAATTTTATTTTCATTTTCTTTTTTTACGATTAATTATAATATAAGATGCATAGAAAAAGTTGTAACGCATATATTAAATATGAGATTTCCCCCATTGTAAGGCGTCTCATCCCCCAGGGATCCATGTTTGAATCCTCCTCAAAGATCCATTTTTTCTTCATTTTATTTTATTGAAATTATTTTTTTCAATAAGACGGAAATACATGTTACTTACTAATCTGAAGATTAAATTTATAAATTAAAATTAAGAAAAAATTCCAAACAAATTATATGTAATATTACCTATCACTATCCGATTAAAAGATTTAATTTACTGAATTAAATTAAAATTAAAAGTAAATTGATAAAATATTTAAAAAAAGAAGACTAAATATTAACTATACAAATTTTATTAATTATCACATCAACTACAACACATTATTTAAATAGTTAAATAATTTGATTAACAAAATTTAATTATAATTTACTCATTAATAACTTTATGTATACCCCACGTTACCCTCTCTCCTTCCATTCCTCCTTGAAAACATAAAAAATAAATGGCAGCTTGCATTAAAACGATAAGTACTCCATACTCACTAAAGCTAACAAAGATAATGAAAAATCTATAGAACACTTATCAAAGGGTAATTGCAGCATAACAAAACATTGGGTAAATTACAACTCAGCTAATTAAAGATGCTTTCGCAATTTAGATAAATTCCCTTAAGCCAACGCCATCTGCTCATGCGGCATTCTTATGTCCTCTTGATCTTTGAAAAAGTTCCAGTCTCCGAGAAGTAAGTGCTTTGAGTTCCGCTGCCAAGCTGATGTGCATGAGCTTGAGGATTAGTGAGCTCAATCCCCTGAAGAAAAAGAAAAAAACCAATTCGTTACCCACAGATAAACACACACGAAGAAAAAAATTATGCCCAGTTCGATTCATGTAAAGAGAAGTTCAGCCTTAGACTCTAACAATCCCTCTCGAACTCCATCAAAAATAGAGAAAAATGTCATCAGAAGTAGCGATTCTAAATCTTAGAAAAGATCAAAATTATATCTAAACATACAGCCAGTCACATGTAATCATATGATAGAAAACATGCACACCAATCGGGATAAAAAGATAGTCATCTAAAACTCACTACATACTCGCAGACGGTACAACCTAAAAATAAAAGAATACACCATGAACTTTCAAAATAAAATAGCCAGGACCAGGACCCCTGACCTTGTTTTTCTCAGTCCTCCGCATCTTCAGAATCCTTACTATTTATTGAAGATTTGAAGTAAAAAATGCAAAATTACCGACCTAAACAAATAGTTTATCCGGAATTTACAGCAATTTCACCTCTGCTTCAAGCACAACCTTAAACCTAAACTTTACCACTACTTTTAAATCCTAGATGCTAAACCCTTTCTTGCACCTAGTAAATAGGCGAACTTCTCTAATCTTCCCCGTGTTAAATATGTCATATAACAAAATAGTGGCACCCCTTCAGTTCATTGTCAAATTAGAAGAAGATATAAATACCTGCACAGGTGTGAATGCCAAACTAGAAGTCAGCCCAGAGGTAGCACCACTGCTTCCATAACTCTTTTCCTTGAACCTGAAGAGAACAAAAATGAATATCACCAAGGTGATCAACGAGCAAGGATGAATTTGAGAAATGAACAGAAAAAGTACAGAATTAAGCTAACTCATCAAAGGGAAAAAAGGTACAGGAAAACATACTTCTTAGCAACTTTGGCTGCAAGTTTACTCTGACCAACTGAAACACGCAGTTTGCCACTCCCAGCCTGACCAAGCATTCCATACCCTTCACCTAGTCCGTCACCTAATATCAGAAGGTAAAAACAGTTAGAAAATAGTGGGATATAGGGTGTTTTTTCCTTTTTTGATAAATGGAAAAGGTTCACTATCCTCAAATTAAACAAAAAAAAATTCCAAATAGAAAATGATACATGAAATTAACTCCTCGAGAGACATATTCAGAACTAGACATTTCATGAACAAAAAAGATGATAGCCAAGCATGCGTGTATTACATTATCAGATATTGCAGGTCGCCTATTATCGACATAATATATATATGATTCCTAAAAAGTGGAAAAATCAAGGTTCTACCTAAAGAACTTTCCTCAGGTACACCAAATTGCATCCTGTTTGCCAGCTTCCTCATGTCTGTTATAGCATACCTAAACAGACACATGCTTGTCAGATAAGCAAAATGCACAAACAAATTACTATATTTTTTATTAAAAAAAGAATGCTAAAGTAACCAAAACAATAGATAAACCTCTCTTTCATCTTCCTTAGGCGACGACCACCCCTCTTTTTCTTAGGTTCAGAATCAGGAACAGGAAGTGGTTTAGGCTGCTTTGCAGGAGGTGGTTCTTGCCATTTTTCAATTTTCTTATGAATCTCTTCCTTCAAAGTTTTTCCAGCATTACCCGATGGATCCCCTCTAGTAGAATCTATACGTGCTGCAAGTGTTGCTTTTGAAGCTAAGAGACGACAAGCACGACTCCTCAAAGCAGGAGGTGTAGTTTGAAAAATCTCAGTCTGTTCAATATAACCAACACGAAACTGTGACGTTGCAGTGGAAAACCCTGCAAGGGTCTTTTTCTTTGCACCAAGCAGCTGAACATTACAAGCAGGCATCTTAGCCAATGCTGAAAGACCACCAGCAGTACCCATAAGTTTAGCAGCAACAGCACTACCGACAATAGTAGAAAGATTTGGTGCAATATATCCCATTCTGCTTTCTACAAAATCAAGAACCTTTTTCTTTGCTGCATCAAGAGTAAGAGCACGATCACAAGCATCAATAGTTTTCTGAAGATCGTCTTCTGGAAGTGGCTTTCCACTGGTAGTCGATGCTGTAACTGAAACAACCATAATGATAGCGGAAGGCAAAAGACCTTCCAAATCAACCAGGGTTAAATCCATCTCATTGCCGATCTTTTTCACCACACGTGCATAATCAATTGGATGATGTACAAGAGATTCAAGCTCAGGAAACTTCAATCGATACTTGTCACGAATAAAATTATGGATAATAATAATCTCATTCTCAATATCAACCGAGAGTCCATTACAGTCCACAATCAGCTGATACTCAGGATCATCTTCCAGTACCATTCCCTGATTCGACATATCAGAACCCTTCTCGAGGGCCTCTTCCACTTTCTGCATTATGGTAAAAAGAAAAGAAAAGAAAAACTAAGAATAGGAATAATGAATTCACAAACTCAAGCACACACAGATTCCGTAAATCATTTATACACAAATATATATAATATAAAGCAATCAAATATACCAAATATAAGGATTCAATAACTAATAAGAAAACAAAAGCAATTGCTAAGACATGAAACAAACCTGCATTAGATCAATGTATCTCTGACTTTTTTGTAATTTGGAAACACTGTCCAGATCATCGTAGTTAAGGTTTTCGATATCTGCCAGGTCACCATCAATATCTTCTTCCATGTTTGCGACGTCATCATTTGCTTCCTCCTAACAGAGTGATATGAACATCCAGATTAAAAATAATTATCAAACAAAAAATAGCAAAATTCAAAAAGGAAATGAGAAGTACAGTTTCAACTTACGAGAACATCGGCTTCGTTATCTGATAATTCATCAAGGTCCGCAAGGAATGAATCAGCTAAAGTTGCCTGAAAATTATAAGACGGTACAAGAACGGACAGTTAAATGCAATTATTTTATTGAAAAAGGAAAAGAACAAAAAAAAGAGTAACTAGAGAAACTATAGAAAGCAGAAAGGAAACAACAAGAAAAGAATGAACGAAAACTAACCATCTGGAGCTTTTGCGAGGAATCTTAAAGGGTATGACCCTAAATCAAATAGAATTAACGAAAACAAAAGGCGATTTTAAACTTCCCAATTATAAGAATGAAGACACCCTAATCGAGGAAATAAAATAACAAAAAAATTAAATAAAAATGGGATTATATGCTTTGAAGGAGAACTAGCGTAGCGAGTGGGCTTTTTTTGTATGGACTTTGATCCCCCTTAGTAAATTTCATAATCATATCTATAAATTCTTTTAAACTGTTCAATTAGTAACATTAAACTAAGATTATAGTATATTCATAGGATATAT